TTATATATATATGTATGTATGTATGCATATATATATATGTATATATATATATATATATATATATATGTATGTATGTTTATATATATATATAAATTGAAATTTTTGTTAGAGAGTTGCATAGTGATATTAAATTTGGATGTTTACACTTAGAGATAGGAATAACGACTGGGGTGTAATGTGCATCTATACATACCTACCACAAAATGTACCGTGTACATACATAGTTACAGTACCCGCGTAAATTATAGTTAACCCTTGAACACAGTACGGACGCTATATACTTTTCCATAGGTACCGTACTCCATCATGTATCTACATACCTCCATTAGAACCGCCAGTCAATTTCTTCTCATCCCAGGTGCCGGATGTGTGCCAGGCCAAACGTACCAGAGTGGGTCCCATATCGGGGTCATCCTCAATGATGGTCTCGATAGACTCGCGAACCTTATCGTAGTCTACGATTGCAGACGCTTCTTTAGCCTGTACCGAAGTAGGTGGGTAGATATGTTTATACAGGAATGAGATAAGAAGGCCGATCGGTTGATAAGTAGATGGGATGGCCTAAAATGGTAGATACGTTCGTGATATCTTTATCAGCATACAACAGATACAAAACCGAAGAAGGACATCATGCGATGGTTTCAAATGGGCGTATCTAAGCAACGTAAATCGGGTTGAATTATTTCCGTTTTATTTAGATGCATGACAATCGAGTTCAGATATGCAGGTGCAAATGAAAATGTACAAAGCCTTAGCATATTCGCACTACGGACGCTCAACACAGCAAGTATCATGATAGCTAGAACAATTTCGGTGAACGATCACCACCTATAACTAATAGAATATTTACTCAAGATACAATACCCTGACTTTATAACAGGAACGATGAATACGTATGACTGATAAACTGGTCAACTAATTTAGAGTTGAAATTAAGTTTGATCGACTTGACATTAAATGGTAATAGCTGCCCTACCTGAGCTACATCTGAAGCGGCAACAACCGCCCCAGCCACCACAGCTCCGGTGATTACGGCAGGTACGCCCCTGTTATATGTATTGACAAGACATAGTCAATTATCGATTTGTAGACGATTTAGACACATCAATGTCGAGCATGAACCAGGAAGTGATGTAGATGTACAGAGCGATATGTTGATACCTGCTGGTACACGCGGGAGGATATATTAACAATTTACTACCAGTGAATGCTGTGATTATCTGATGAGAAGCGTTAGTATATATCTAACCATCATTGTATCCCTGCATACGCACACGGAACGTGAACAATTACATTGCTGTATACATAGGTCTGACTCCAAGCGGTTGCACAATATACTCCATTCGTATTTATCAAGCTGCAGATCTTAGTAGTGGAAGATACACCAGGATGCTCTAGACATAACACGGTTAAAGCCAACGACATACAAAAAAACGCTTAGCCACAAGCACTACCAAAAAAGACACATACACAATAACACTCTCCCAGGCACATACCACCACAATGGGCAATGGCACGGGCATTCACAGACCCAAGGCATATCCACGGTCAGAAAAAAAAAGACATGCACAGAAAACGCTCAGGACATGCGCATCGTTACAACAAGCGCATGCACAGGTAATGTTGAGATCACATACCATCGCAAAGTGTTGCTTCCAGTAGCGGCACGAGTGCTCATGAAACGCGCAGAGCGAGCTGGAAAAATAAATGAAGGACAGAGAACAGATTGTTAAGCTATCGCCAACCAACCCCGGGTAAACCCCGATTGGTAATAATTGATCTTGATGTGAAAGCCGGCACAGTCATACACGATGTACTAATCTCAATGATAACTATGCATAACTACATTAAATGATGACCCTTTCCGCCCATCAATGGTACACACACACACATCTACGATATCAATCTCGATATTTGCTATACACAAGGATGTACATGAAACTCAACTATATATATATATGTGTGTATGTGTGTGTGTGTGTGTGTGTGTGTGTATAAATAAATAAATAAATATATATGTGTGTGTGTGTGTGTGTGTGTGTGTGTGTGTGTGTGTGTGTGTGTGTGTGTGTGTGTGTGTGTGTGTGTGTGTGTGTGT